TGTGTGTGTGTGTGTGTGTGTGTGTGTGTGTGTGTCTGTCTGCTGGCCAGGGTCAAACCAAGAGGTTTGTTAACATGGAGCATTAATCTCGCTCAGGCCAACATCCACACATCGCTAAATCAGCGCACGCACACACACTCCCTCAGTTCTCCGCGGTGAGCCGAGATGCCCACAAGTAAATTTTTAATCACATGCGCTCTAATCACTCAGGCTCACAGTCGGTCTTAAACCACAGTCATGACCTCCGCTTACGCACATTAAGAAGACCTGAGTGAGCACCGCATCCTCCTGCACCCCTGAAACCTGCGTGCCCGTAAAGCCCTTCCCTGTCAATACCAACTGCACAGAGAAGAAAAAAAAGACAACGCTCACCATCTGTCCTCCTGTATGATTTTCTCTGCCCCTTTTTTTTCTCTGTGTGTGCAAGTGTGTGAGCTCTGCGATGCTTAACCGTTCCTCTTCCTTCAAAGCTTTGCTGATACTGTTGCATTTTCTGAAAAACCCACTCACCCTAAAATCACCATCTGGCTCCTTTTCACCTCTCCCCATCACCAGAATGTCATCTTTGTTGGCTTGACGGGGTACATGCAGGCATTTCTGTCACTCAGAGTTAAATTTGAATAAAAAATAACTGCATTATACTGTATGCAGACACTCCACGTCCTACTTCTGCAGGTTATTTTCCTCCCTTTCTTTTAGAAACTCCTATCTCACACAAATGGAGGAATTTATGCTACATACCAGCATGTCTGACTCTTTCCGCCTCCCGGGAACCAGTAAACAAAGACTTCTCCTTTTCTGGCTCGGGGCCTAAGAACGACCATTTTCAGGGACACTGTGCAGCAGCCAGACACAGAGCAGTATATCATAGTCTGCTACAGTATAAATAAACTCCTTTCTCAGAGCCTTTAAAGGGCACCCTCCATCTAAAAAGACTTTTGTGATGAGCTTTAACACAGCCGTGCAGTGAATCTTAGTCAGCGCACTTTATCTTCGCGTTTTTTTGTAGAGGGCCGGTGTGGCCCGCGCGTTAGTGTGTGAGCGTTTATTCATAAGTGTGTCGCTGTTCTATCCCTCCCTGCCCCCTCCATCAACACCACCTCGCCTCACCTCCATTGTTATTCCCTGCATCGCTGTTCTCCCAACAGAGTGCACATTCATCACTCGGTCTTGTGCCTTTCTTGTGGGCACACCAGAGAGAAGAAAAAAGAAAGAAAGAAAGTCAGGAACCTTTTTAGGTCCGTGCTTGTAAATGACCTGCCGCGAGATGGGGTTTATTAAGTCACCTCGCCTCCTTTCTCACTAACCTACTTCCCGAAGACAGACGAGGAGGCGAGAGACAGACGGACAGAGGGGAGGCAGGTAGACGCACTGATCAAAAAGGAGCAGCAGTGGACCGGCATGAGGATTGATGAGATTTCTCAGTATTTTACGTGGGCCGTCCATCCACCTGCTGTCAAAGCCGCTTAAAAAGACACAAAAACCCAGAAAATGTGGGAATTATTTCTGTTTTGTGAGACATTTACAAAGGAGTCCCACGGTTATTTGCTTTACTTGATGGGGGAAAGGGGGGAAACACCATTCTAGCTTCCTGGAGTATTTGATGGCTTTAAAATGTCTTGTTTTGTCTGACCAAAAGTCAAAAACAAGCACCAAATAAAAAAAATGGTGTGGGGGCAAATTCTTATTTTGACAAGCTGGAGCCTGCAAATGTTTTTTTTTTTCCATTTTAAGCTTACTAAATGACTTGAATTATTCATTAGATGTGACAGCTATTTCACTGAGTGACTGAGCTGAAATAGGGACACCTCCTCTGATACTCTTCATGTTTATTTTAAATCTTTTTTATTCTATTCCCACACCCAAGTAAATGATTTCTGCAGGGACTGACTTGCTTTGAGTGTGGCCCATAATTTTCTGTCAGCTGTCAGATTAATGAAGTACCCCATTAACATGTAACCAAAGTGCATTTTGTGTGTGTGTGTGTGTGTGTGTGTGTGTGTGTGTGTGTGTGTGTGTGTGTGTGTGTGTGTGTGTGTAAAGAGCCACTTAAAGAACCAACAGTGACAACAATGCGCATTTCCTTCCAACAAGGCAAATACAAACCTCTGTAAGTGATGCAGCAGACTGAAAAACTTCAGCCAACAACAAACTAATCAACTAATGGAACAGAAGCAAATCTGTGTTACGGAAAATATTGAACAGGCTCCAGCAACAGCTGGAATCACTCTGCCATCATGCTAGATTCAATAAAGGTATAAATAGTCTGTCATTAACAGTTGCCCTCCTCTCCTCCGGGTGTACGAAAGAGTTCACACTGATAATCCCGCGCGGTTAATCTCCGCGTGAAGTTTAATTAATTTCCCGGCACAGGTGTTGACACTCTCTTAATCTGACTGAGCAGGAGAAATCAATCATCCCGACAAGCTTTGAGGCGCTGGCAGAAAAGATCGCGATAAATACACCGATTCCATCCCGGTGTATAGCTGGTTTTAGGCTAATGTGTCCGATAGTGTCTCAGCTCGGACAGGACGCGCTATCGTGCAATTCTCCAAAATCCTGACTGCACGTCGCTGGCAGCGGATGACGAAAGCATCTGCCCAATGTCGACCAGTCGACAAGCAGACCGGTTTTCCAGGTTAAAGCTGGGTTTATGGTCCAGCGCAGCTAGCGCTGTTCGCACCGCTGAGTGCAGTGAGCTCTGTTGCCAGATGGAGGCAATGCACAAAGTATGCAGTACAACAGGTCTGTTTTACTGTGCTTGTGCTTTTCCTGGTCTGTCAGCCGGCCGAGGAGAAAAGGGGTATTATACAAATATATATACAAATCATTTACAGCTTTGGTTTTTGCCTTTTTGCAAGTATTCCATATGATTTGACTAAAATAAAGACCTCTGTGGAAAAAGAAGGTTTCCATGTCCAGTTCATGCAAATACATGTTGTAGTTATCTTCATATGACGATGCAAAATACTGGCACCTGTGTGTCCACTGACATGAAATCACAAGCCGATATTTTCCTCCTAAAACCACAAAGAAACTCATCAGACTCGAGATGAGCAGGAAACATCAACACCTGCTACCTGTCACCAGTTTCTTCCACAGTCTAACACAGCTTCCCGCTTAACTGGCACATTAATTTGCTCGAACAAAAAGCTGAATGTGAAAATATTTGTCATCAGCATAGTTCGCGTTGCTATTTGAAGATACTATCAGCACCTATATGCACATGTATACACTTAAGACGATGTTAATTCCTTTTTTCCGCCAGGTCTGTGATCTAATCTATTCAAAAAATGGACAAATCTGCAACATCTGGAGAGCGTAAAATGTAAGCAAATCTAACCAGTTGAAAAAAAAATCTGTTAACCTGGAAAACCGGGTTAGAGCAGCGAGTGAGTTTAGCGGGAACGCGATAACCGGGAGGGAAAAAAGAAAAGAAAACTTCAAAAGGTTAAAAACGGCATGAAAAGCACGGACGGTGGTTACCGTGTCCCCTCTTCATTGCTTTTAACACTCAGCTTCACTTCAGCTCTTTGTATGTGAGAACTTCGTTCTTCTCCGCCGCTGGATCGACAACAGCACCAGCACGCCTGGATAGCTTTGAGGGGTCGTGCCGGAGTGAAATCACTCCGCGGCTCATTTCCAAATGATACACATGTTGGCTCTGAACACCTTTTTTTTTTTTTTTTTTTTTTTGAGGAAAACGTGTCAGCGCGGGGGGGTGGCCATAAATCCGCTTTTGGCGCAGCTATTGGTGCGTAATTGTCCCCACAGAGGAGCGGTGAGGATCACAGAGAGAGAGAAACGGAACATTGGCACAATAGAAACAAACATGATCGTCTACAAATGTCCGCTTGTGACACATCGACCCCCCTTTTTCCCTTTTAAACAGCACATCAGACACGTCCACTGCTGCGCTACTACGGGGATTAACGCCGCCATGTAAGGATAGGGATGCTGCTATTACACCGTTACCGACCTTTGTTATCTCCGGAGCTGTGATGTGATGTGACGGTGGTAGCGGTGATTTCTCCCCTCAGGCGGACTGCGTGTCCCGGCCAGCCGGCTGCCTCCTGTCCCCTCTCCTCCTTCTTTCTTCTTTTTCCGTTATTTTATTTTAAATTTATTTGTTCGGTTTATTGGAGGACCTCCCGCTCCTCCTGCTCGCCTTCACTCTTGGCTCTCTTCGGCACTGTTTGGAGCTTGTTCAGGTGAAGCAGTCAGTGAGGCTGCAGATCTGCTGTCTGTCAAGAGGATGGTCCTCGCGAGCGACTCCTCGTGCTACATAACGAGAGGCGTTTGCCTCTCTCTCACTCTCACTCTCTCTCTGCGCGTGTGTTCGTGACGCGCGGAGAACGCTGTGCGGCGGCTCGCGCGCTCACAGCAAGCACATATGGGCTTCACACACGCCACGAGCACATTAACGCGCATGGACAATCCTAACGGAAAGTCGTTCGACCGTGACGAGAAAATGATTGTAATACTTATGTAACGTTTCCCCGAATATTGTATCTCCGGCTCCGGGCGCTCCGTTAACCCCGCGCTCTCTGTTGTAAAGTTGCTTCTTGCCGTTCACTGTGAAAAGCTTTTGTGATGCCACGCAGGCTGATTTAAATTTGAAGTGGGGCTTCACAGAGAGCTCGTATGTAAATCTACAGTCAACAGGGGTGCATTTAGTGATTCACGGGCCTTAGGCAACCCCAGGAACGGGGCCTCCCTCATCTATTATTCACAGCATTTTCATAACAAAGGGGTGTTTAGTATGACTGAGGTTACTAATTGCAATGAATGCAAGCATTTAGTAGATTTATTTTTCACTATTTCAACACTTATACCCCCCCCCCCCCAACACACACACACACCCCTCGGTGAATTACAGTTCCCATCCAACCCTCTCAAAATGAGCTGAGTCATATATTTTGTTTTAGTATGTTTAATGGAGACATTCCAAAACACCATAAATATGGCTATGGGCACAAGTTTTTTTTTGTTTTTTTTACAGGTTTAAATGACTCAACTTTCTGCTGGTATCATGAGTAACAAGCCAATCATCTCAGCCTTGATAATCAAGTTGTCATGGAAATCACGAATCTTTGCTGCAGTGGGACCACTGTCACGTTTAAGTGTCCTCCAACATTTCTGATCCAAGAGGCCCTTGACATTAAACATTTCTTGCTATTTTGTTTCTATGTCTGGATGGAGTGCTCTATGGTATCATGTTTTTGTCTTGATCTTATCAGGCGCATTATCAGGGATTATAACATCTAGTCCTTTTACGGAATGACTCAGTTGCAACATAAACTCGAGTTATCACTTTCACACATTGTTCTGATTGTATTCTGTGACCATGCTGGGTGAATAACTTGATCTATCCAATCGTTCTCTTCCAATCATCCTCATCAGGGTTGTCTAACATACATGCTGCTTCTGTTCTAGGACAACAAAAAAATACACACCCCTAAGAGAGAAATAAAATGAACAGACCAAAATATGAAATAAGAAATCTTGGTACAACAGGGAGCGATTTGAAAAATATGTGATGTTCTTGTCTAATCCGAAAGTCAGTGTACTGAGATAAAGCAGTGCTAGAAGACTGTTAACAGCACGACCATTAGGCAGGGAGGGAGAAAAACACAGTCACACAGGCAGCGGCACAGAGCTGCGTGCCGTGATCCAGGAGGAAGTGTCAAAGTATGTGGATGGAGCTGTCGGCCCTCCAGCTTAGCCTCTGCTTTCAGGAACATAGAAGTAACACAGAGAACGTCTTTGTTGTGTTAGAAACAATGACAGCTCTCAGCTAGGAGTCCATTCTCTGTGCTTGTCTCTTAGGTGTTTTCTTTCATGTTTTTTCCTGTTTGTGGTGAACTCTACTGTGGTTCCCTTTACTATTCTACTCTATTCTACATACTTACTGAGATTGGGTTATGCGCAGACGTTGCTTTGGAGAACTGGACGCAAATCGAAAATCTTTTACAGTGCGTGGCTAAAAACCTGCAGAAACAGATAAAGAACCATTAATTCCACCTCGAAATGACATAGTAGAAACTGCCGTAGTAGGTTTTCATTGTTACTCGGAAAGACTAGCTCTTTGGCGTCTGCGAGGAACCGCGAACAGATTGCGTTCCTGCTTGGAATGGTAATTGCTAAAAAGTTAATCCTACAGCAGTGGAAATAAAAAGGCTCAGCACCAACATTTGAGCTTTGGAGAAATGATGAATACATCGCATTTGGAGAGTCTGAGACTTCTGAGCGATAACAGACTCAATAAATCTGAGACATCCTGGAATCCTGTACGAGCATTTTTGAAAACAAAACAGGCCGTGCTGTTCCAAACAAGCTTTAATGCTGCATCAAGGATCACTGTTGTTAGAGGTGCTGTTTCTCTCTTCTCTTAAAAAAAACCCCAATACAATCATTGGGTATAAAATTGTCATCGTACTTATAGCAGATCTTTTATTTCTTTATTTTTTAATGGTGTCGCGTGTGAGTCTTGCAGTGCTAATTGGCTCCAGAGTCCCGTTAATCGTCTCTTTCCTGGTTGGCCCTGGAGGTTTACAACACCCTCACAATCTGACCCACGTCGATTTTTATCGCCCTGCCTCTCTCTCCCCTGCCATTTGAAGTCAACTTTTAAACGCTCTTTACTAAGAAACATAGATCCTCTTTTCTCACGCTCATTACCGTCTCCTTAAACTGGCTCTTTATAAGTTATTATTCTCGTTTGTATTTATTTTGCCTGTACTGTGTATTGCAACTTATTTCCACTCCATTCTTTTGTAGTCACGTTTGTTTTTTATCTCCGTTACTCAAAAACACGTCTCAGACTTAGTAGTCGTCATATTTTCCATCCTGTTCGTACAGTGTTCCTGTGCACTAATGAGTCACCTGTAGTGTATTTAAAGGACAGCTCTTTCTGGCTTTTACCTCCTAATAAATCCCACCGCTCTTTGATTTTATTAGTATTACGTTCCTATTTTTTGGGGCGAGGTTAAGGATGCTTCCTGAATCCTGACGGACAGACTGAGTAACGATCTGGACTCGGGGGTGTAATAAATTAATGAGTTATTGTGTTTGCAGCGTATTCCCTCCTCCATACGGGTTATTATTCTTGTGAGGAACAGTGCAGACTTTGATTAGGGAACGCTGTCGCTTCTTCCTATTGATCCTGTTTGTGATGAGCTGCAGAGATTGGCCGAAGCTTGTTAAACACCCCGCTGGCATTATAAATTCATTGTTTTTAGCTTGTTTGTGGACCGGCAGTAATGCATGACACCGCTGTGCTGAATGGATATTGTTTAATGGGCTGCTTTCTGATTGATTGGACGCTTTCTTGTGGTTCCTCTGCAGCTTTTTATGGTTTGTGCTTGATGTGATTTCAGAAGCAGGGACAGATGTTTCTAAAACTTTACAGACTTTTTCTTCTTTGATACAACTGGTTGTTTTTGAGCATTAAAAATATTAAAGACTTGCAATGGTTAAATGACTTTTTATATTCAAAAGGCTTCAAAAGAGGCTTCTTAAGAATGAGATACCAGCAAAGTATTATTCAACATCTGTTCGTATAATTACTTTTATTGATTTGTGTAGACAAGAATCAGGTCAGCCTGGACTGACAAAACTTAAAAAAAACCTGACTTTATCAATATTTAGTACTTCAGAACCAAAGCAAACGTCCATCGTGTTCCACACCATGAATGGCACAAAAGATTGAAAAGAACTGAGGCAGGACAGAGTCATGCACCATGTACTTTATTTTTAAATTATTTACAATCTCTGCCCGCTTGCAGAGATCCCCGGACACGCCTCACTTCATCTTCCATTCGAGCTGTCAGGGTGCAATCAGCAGACATGGAGGGCGCTCTGGATGGTGCGTGACGTTACTTTGACCTGTTCAGGGTCCCTCACGCTACTAACAAGACCCACCACGCTCCTGCTGTCGGGCTAAATAAGTCAAGGTTGTGATGTTGTGGACAATGTTGCTGGTATATAATATGTGTTTGTGGTGTGCTTACCAGCCATGATTTCAGCTTTTTGACAGGTTACAGCAATAAACGATTTGGTTAGATTCAGAAGAATAAAAACTACACTGCAAAAACTCAAAATCTTACCAAGTGTATTTGTCTAATTTCAAG